TTTAGCGAATTTCTTTTGAAAAAAAAATATCGCAAAAAAAACCTCGGTGGGTTAAAAGAATCCTTCTTTGTCTGAAAACGAATGCCGAAACAGGAATGAGATTTGTGTTAAGCACGGTCGTAGTATCAGCAGCAGCTGCAACATCAACACCATCAGTACCAGCAACAGCGAGACCAAGAGCGGAATCATCATCATCATCAGCATTCTTACTTAATAATCATCCCTGCCATCATATTCATCAACATCACAGTTATGAGCCCCTGCAAACACAACATGTTCCTTGTATAGTCAGGGAACGGCACACAAACACTAAAAAATATACGCACACACGCACACTGACGTTTGCATAAACGAACACCTTTACAAAGGCAAAGATCCCCCGTATAGTCTTAACAGACTTTCATAATATAATAGAGGTTCTGGGGTTAGATCGCGTAAATATATAAATGTGTCGCTAAAACCCGCCACCACCCGACACAGCCAACTAGTGAGGGTTGTCACGTAAACAGAACGTGGCCAATTCGTCACTAGTACAGCACACCGGTTGTGTGTTGGAGAGCCAAGCCACAACATTTACAAACTGAGTACGACGTTTCGCCAGTAATTACAACTAGCTTCATCAGGCGACAGTCAGATTTGTGTTAAATCTTAACAGACTGTTGCGGCAAGTGCTGTTAGCGAGCACCTACGAATGCCGGAACGGAAAACGAGGGGGCGGGTGGTCAACACCACACCCGACCGCCTTTGTCTCCCCAGTGGCGATGTTTACACACCGCACCAGGTACTCATTTGAGGCCGAGTAGACCTAGACGAGGCCTAGGACCGGTTCAGATATTCGCCACTGTTATTATTGGTCGTGAGCGGGAATCAAACTCAAGCGGCCGGATTCACAGAGCAGTGCGCTAACCATTGCGCCACCGTTCCCTTCAAAGCGAGCAACACACACACACGTGCAATGACACACAGCTACGCGGTCACTCTCACCTACAAACACACAGTCACTCAAAGGGATGCACACGCGTAAATGCACAATCACACACACAATCACAGACACAAACACAATTACACACACAGTTACACACCAACACGCGTAGCACTCAATGACGCACAACGACACATTTGCATTCACAGCGATCAGATCACACAGCGAGCGCGTTTATCTGACGAGACAGCCTCACGCGCTCTCCCTTCACACTCTCTCCTCTCACACTCTCCCCTTGCATTATCCCCTTTCTCTCACTCTAGCTCCCTCTCACACTCACTCTCTCCAAGTCTCGCCTCACTCTCTCCCCTCACCCTACTATTAATATCCTCTCACCCTCTTTCCTCACACTCCCACTCTCTGCTCTCTCTCTCCCCTCACACTCTCCCATCAATATCCTATCATCCTCTTTCTTTCACACTGTCACTCACTCCTCACTCTCCCATCACTCTCTCCCATCACCCTTCTATTAATAAACCTCTCTCACACTCACACTCTCTCCTCCCTCACACTCTTCCAACAATATCCTCTCATCCGTCACTCTCTCCACACTCTCACCCATCACCATCTCTTCCCTCATTCACTCTCCCATCACCCTCTCCGCTCACACTCTTTCATCACTGTCCACTCACCCACTCCCCTCACATCCTTCCCTCGCTCAACCCTCACACTCTCCCATCTCTCTCTCATCTCAGCATCCCATCACCCGATCCCATAACACTTTTCCCTCATACCACTCTCTCCTGAAACTCCCCTCACAATTTCCCCTCTAAACACGAGGGTTGTCACCTGTCTGGGTTGACAAGGATAGTCCGGAAATTTGGCATCTTTGTTCGGGTCGCAGACATTGATTTGTACCAAGAACTGGTACCGGTATTGTATTACATTTCACATAACAGTATACTGTAACTGCACAATTTTGATCATAGACGTAGGCGGACTGAGAAACGTGTCCAGGTTTATAGTCTGTGGAAAATGTGGCAACCCTACCTCACACAGCCTCTTTCTTCTTAATTCCCACTCTCGTCACCTCACTCTCTCTCCACTCACACTCCACTCTCTTTTCCCTTCGCTCTCTCCCCGCTTCTCATCTCTCTCTCTCTCCCGTCTGCTCTCCGACTCACCTCTCTCTAACCCCATCTGTCTTTCCTTTTCCCACCCTCGTCTCTCTCTTTTCCTCACACCTCTCCCCCTTTCCTCCCATGCCTCTCTCAACTCTCTCTAAACCTCCGTGTCTCTCATTTCTGCTCTTTCGTGTCTCTACTCTCTCGCTACTATGTTTTACATCTCTCACCTTCCTTTGTCTCTCCCATCTCTGCACTCTCCCTCGACCTCGTTCTCTTTTCTTCTGTACGAAGACAATTCCGGGTTTCTCCGTTTCTATTGTTCCATCTCTATCTCACTCCTCTTTTCTCCCTTATAAACTGAACCCGTCCTGGTTTTCCCCTCGGTTGACTCAGTCTTAAATGAGTCCCTGCTACAATGTGTCAACATCAGTAAGAGAAAGGCAGGCCGGACTTGCCGCTAGGCCACAGCATCCCCTAAAGTAACGCACCAGCCTAACACGGCTTGCTCGCTAACAGCACTCGCCCCCAACAGTCTGTTGAGGCTAAAATGGGATTTCTTTGTGCCCGCGTGCGAATGCTTCCACTCGTACACAGGAATGAGCGGACAGTGACGAATGTTCTGTGTGGGCAGGCGGAACGACCGTAGGAAGGTCTGAAAGCACCGGCGTTGATTGTCGACCTTAGACCTCGGAGGAATAAAAAACATTTTCAGGGAGGCAACCGACTTCAAAGATTGACAACAAGGCTCCTTTACTCCCAGGCTTGAGGTCGGATGGAGAATTAATGACCGGGTTTGAGTTCGAGGTGACGTTTCCCAACCTGGGACACATTCTTGTTGGTTTATGCCGGTGTGAAATAAAATGTCTCACTCAAAACCTTTCCGCTGATCAGTCATTCACGCATGCAGCAGGTGTGCGCGTACACTCTGCTGTGAACACACAATATCTGCTTTTACATGAAGGGCGTTTGTGTATGTGTGTGCGCGCGTCTGTGTCTGCGTGTTTTTGGGAGCGGTGGCGCAGTAGTTAGCGCATTCCGCTCCGAACCTGGTGACCTGAGTTCAATTCCCGCTCACGACCGATAACAGTGGCGAATATTTGAAATGGTCCAGGGCTTCCCCCCTAGGTCGATTCAGCCTCGAATTAGAACCTATCGCAGTGTGTAATCATCAGCACTCGGGAGACAAAGGTGGCCACGCGTGGTGCTGGGCACACCACCTCTCTTGCGTGCTGTGGCGTCCTTAATAGGTGCTCGCTAACAACACTTGTTCCAAAGTCTGTTAAGGTCCTACGGGAGATCTTTGTATTTGTGTGCATGTGTCAAAGACATACACTCTGTATAGTCTTATTCATGTTGTATATTCTTTTATGTAATAGTGGGTGGGTGGGTGTGTCAACGTCTACTCGGTGTATATACGAGTGAGCGGGTGAGTGTGTATACATGTCAGTGGGTGTGGGCGGGTGTGTTTGTCTGTGTATATATATGTAAGACTGGGTGGGTGTATGTGTCTGCGCGTATATATAAGTGGGCGGGTGAACATACACATGTATGAACGCGTGTGCGTGTACGTACGGCTATACCATTTACACACGTTCACTTAAAACTTTTGTCGGATGTTTGAATGGACATTAACAAATTACACAGCCAGCGAAACAGCAATTCTCTCCCAATTCCAACAAAGCCGTGACTTTGTTGAGAGAAAAAAAAAGTTCGGGTTGGAAGAAAAACACTCACACTTTTCCGCTCTCTCAAATAAATTCAGAAAATCCCCAAACGATTCACGCTCGTGTTCGCTATGCATCATGGGAGACATTCCCCCACAATTCCTTGCGTTCCTCATGTTGCCACGGGGGCACGGTTAAAGAGAAGTAGCAAAAAAAGAGAGACGTAGCGGTGGGAACGCAATATGGCATTTGCGTTAACGGCTTTGCCCTTATTATAAAAGTCAATGTCGTGTTGGCACTGGTACATCATGCATGACAACTGCGTCAATGCAGACCTAACCCACATAAGATTTAACCACTACTAATGTAGCATCAACATCTCTCTTTGACAGCTGAATTTAATACCAGTTTCCTAATTATTGGGCATCATCAGCGCTGAGCTGGTATATTGTACATGACAACTGCATCAAAACGAGCCTCATAATATTAGAAATCATCATGCCTATCCGACACAAGACAAGCTAAGACATTGAGTCCCATGGATCAGCACTCTTCTCCACTGACAGATGTTAATTCTACATTCTAATGGCAGGGCTGTGTATCGACAGAGGAGTACCACTGGTGAAAGCTGTATTAATGCTCGTCTCGACCGAATTAGAGATCATCAGTGTGACTTATCATACCTCCGTTGGCGACCCTGGGCCATTGGTGGAAATTCGGTATTACCATGGCAATGGCTGGACAGGGAGGACGTAATCCTGACACTCGATACCAGACAAACACATTAACACCGGTTTCGTCCTAATTAATTCCAAAACAGTCTGGAATTATTTTGGCATGCCGCATCCGATTCGCTTAATTTTTTCATTATGATACTGCGACGTGTGTGCATTGGTGCATGTGCAGTGGTGTGTGGCGGTGTGCGTGTGCAGCGTGTGCACGGTGGTGTGTGTGTGTTCATGATGGTGTGAGCTCGTCGGTGTGTGTTCGGCAGGGTGTGTGCGGTGGTGGGTAACCAGTAGTGCGTGTAGTGGTGTTGTGCAAAAAACACGTGAATGCACAGCACTTCTGGTCAACAGATGCCCTTAAGGACAGTACATGCATTTAACGTCCTTGTCCTGAAGGTAAACTCCTTTTAATAGAGACACACTAAATGTCTGTGACATCAAGTCACATATGTGACATTTTTATTCTGGAAAATACTGAGCGAGAATGAAGCCCTCGGAATTAGGAGTCACCAGTGCTACCCAAGCTGCTGCCCAGCTGCCAATTAGTCCGTGCGCTCACCTTGCCGAGGCACTTTCCAACCATGACCTCTGACCTCGCCACGCTCAGGTTCAACTCCCGGTCGCCGGGGAAACGGAACTCGGGGCGGCACTCGTTGCTGTCGGCGATGCTGATGAGCAGGGTCGCTTTGGCGACGCGGGGCTGGGCGCCCCCATCGCTCGCTGCGAGGGTAACGAGCACCCCGCGGGGAGCACGCTCGTGGTCCAGGGCCCCGGCCACGCTCAGCACGCCCGTAGCAGGGTCCACCGAGAACCAGCCCCCCACGTCGGACAATGATGAAGATGTAGATGATGATAAAGAGGTCGATGTGTGTGCACACTCCCACGCTCGACCGTCTGCCAGAGAAGAAACAAAGAGGAAACATTAAAAACTTGAGATTTGGGTCACGAAATCCAGTGCATTATGGTCAGCTGTCGATGACTGACTACGATTATGATGCCACAGCGTATTCAATGTCCACCTTACAGTTGAGTGCTTTGCATTATGATTGATAATATGAATAGAGCGTGCAGCTGGTGTAACTGCACTTGGACCCATGGGTCAAAACGACTCATGTGCCGGGCTACAATCAGGGCGGATGTTGGAGAGGGGATGGCTTATTTCATTATTTGTGCCAGGGCCTATGTCAACCCTGCTACCTCACTGCCACTGCACAGACCACTCAACATCTCTCTGAGCCAAAGGTGTCCCACGTGGGGTGATTCTCATCTCTATCAGCAGCCCCGAGCTACCGACAGAAACTCCACACAGATTGCCTCCCACAAACTACACGGATGGTTCTGCTTGCTGTACTTCTTCCTACCCGTGAAATCCCACAGCACAGCGTGGTCACCTCTGTCGGCGGTAGTGCCGTCGTCACCTCCAGCCGCTTGCGCTGCTACGACGGCATAACGCACGCGCCCGTTCTCTCCGGCGTCCGTGTCCGACGCTGACACCCGCGCCACCCACGTCCCCAGGGCAGCGTTCTCGGGCACGTCGGCCACGGCGTCCGAGGACGACGACGAAAGGACAAAGACAGGATCGTTGTCGTTGACGTCGTCCACCAGGACGTCCAGCACGACCGTCGACTCGAGCGGGGGCCACGCGCCGTCGCGCGCGCGCAGTGTCAAGCGGTAGCGCCCGCGCGCCTCGCGGTCCAGGGAGCCGCTCACACGCAGGAGGTAGACGCCCCCCGAGCCGCTGGTGCCCCCCGCCGCGCCAGTGCCGCTGTGCGGGGCGGGCGATGGAGCGGTGCCGGCGTCGGGGATGGAGGAGGAGGAAGCGGTGATGGCGCTGGCCGAGGGAAGGAGCTCGAAGACGCCTTCGCCCCCTGAGAGCGTGAGCGTCGTGGGTAGCCTGGGCGAGCGCGGGCGAGTGTGAGCCAGCATGAGCGAGCGTCCAATGGGGTCGATTGAGCAAGCTATGTTAAGTGTACATGTCCACACAACACTATCACGTGTACATGTATATATGTACACTCAAACCTACTGTATGCACGCACTCTCCTGTGTACATGCACGGCCACACGTGTACGTACAATTGTATGCAAACATGTATACACAAAGACAAAGATCCCCTTTAGCCTGAACAGTTGGGGTAAGTGCTGCTTGTGAACACCTATTAAGGCTGGCACTATGCTCAAAGAAGGAAGGTGGCCACCACCACGCCTGGCCGCTTTTATCTCCCCTTCACCTTGGTGCCATAATGGCTGAGCCACGCTCGCCTCCTCTCCGCCTGCCCCTCCCGATGACATCATCTCTTTTTGCGGTTTGACGTTTAACGTTATCTCTAATGAAATACTCTCAAGGACAAACGCACGCCCAGAGTGTTACAGGACCCATGCATATGCATGATTATTCTTCCTTGTTAAATATTGTCACGCGCCAGATCCTAGGATTAAGAAATCGACCGGCAAGGTGAACCGACCTTGGGCGTCCACCTCCGGCGCCGCCATTTCCTCCGCTTGGATCCCAGACGCCATCTTGCGAGTCGTCGCCGCCATCTTGGGGGTCGTCGCGTGATGCTTGCTGAGCGTCTCCTGGGCAACAGTCACCCAGGAAAGTTGTCACTATGTCAGGCCATAACCTTACCCGGCTTATGTTTTGTTGCTGCAACCATTACTTGGGTTTCAGTTTTGGATTTTTATTTTTTACTTTGGAAATGTATATTTTCGTGCCTTTTGCTGCCCTAAATAGGTTATCGCTAATAGTACTTGCCTTATTAGTCTACAGTGATAAGCAGGGGCTCTGTCTCCATGTCCAAGGCAAATTCAGCATCTCTCTGCTGGGGAGCAATGTGGCAGTGTCAGCCACCATCCTGAGCCAGTGATAGAAATTCCAACTTCATATGGCAGGGGTGAATCTATCCATAAGAAACCCATGGGAGTACATATACAAATGTGCATGTGTGCCACAGTGAGCAGAACAGGTGGTGCTGTCTGACACTCATCTCAGCCAGTTAACACATTACACCTGGGTCTGTCACATGACCTCTTTCCAGCGAGCTTTCCACAATTCACGTGGCCTCAAAGCAGACCTAATCAGGCACAAACATAGTGGTGAATTACATGTACGTCCCTTTTGTCAATCCACTGCTGGATGATGGCCTACCCACGCCAGGCAGTTGTGGAGGTTATCTGACCATTCTTTACCATGCTGGAATTTGCTGCCCTGTCCTCTGCTGCTCACCACCTACCCGAGCACAATGCAGGCTCAAACCTGCTTAGCCTCTGAGACACAATGAGATTGCATGTACGTAATCCGAGTGATTTTGCACGTGTGTACAGTGTGGACGACACTCCTCACCTCCGTTCCCTCGGCTGCCCTCGTCACTCTCTTCATCCTCCTCCTCTTCCTCCTTCCCTCCCTCATGGTCATTGTCGTAACCATCGTTCCGTGGGGGTCCGGGCCAGGCGACGAGGTCGGGAGAAGAGGGGGGGCCGGGGAGGGCAGTGGGGTCGGGGAGGTCGGCGTCGTGAACGGAGACACGGGCGACAATGAGGCCCAGGGGTGCGTCCTCGCTCACGACCCCGACGAGGACCCGTGGAGACGAACCTGCGATCATCGACACGGTTACGTTAGCGTCGTCCCTGGCATCAGCAGCATCGTTAACGGCAGCAGCAGCTGTGTCAACATCGTTTACATCATTAAATCGCAACACTGCCAACATAAGCAGCAACAGCAGCGACTTTGTCAGCATCATTGACATCATTGTCATCAGCAGCAGTCACTTGGTGAGCAGCATCATTTCATTACATCAACGTCATCAGCTGCAGCATTACTATGATCATCAGAACTATCAGCAGGAGCAACGCTATTAACATTGACAGCAGGAAAAGCAGCATCACTATCATCACGATAACATTAAATGTACCACAATTAGCATAACGTCAGCAACAGCATCGGCATTACCAAAATCACTGTCATCATCACCAGCATCAACAGCTGAAACATCAGAAGCAACCAGTAAAACGTTAGCATAATGATCACCATCAGCCGCAGAAATATTATCATCATGCTTTTCATGATGGTTCTGCTGAGAATGGTGATGACATGATGTTGATGCTGTTGATGATAAGGAAATTCCTGCTTCTAATGCTGACATCAACAATAAGATATTGAGACGCCCGGGTGGATGAGAGGTCAGAAATACTGAGCCAGCACCCCTGAGATCCTGGGTTCAAATGTGGGTCCCTACCACCCACCCGTAATTTAAATCGGGTTTCCAAGTCTCATGTTCATAGTCTGACCCTGTTCACCAATGTCATCCTGCCCATCATCTCACCATCATCTCCATCACCCTCCTCTGCTCCTCCACCACCAGCATCATCACCATGGCGGCCGAAGAGGATGGTGCTGATGAGGGGGGGGTGCTCATTGACGTCGACGACGCGCACCGAGAGGAAGGCAGCGGCGCTGAGGGGGGGCGCCCCCCCGTCGCGTGCCACCACCACCAGCTCGTGCCGGTGCTGGGACTCGAAGTCGAGGCGGCGGCGCAGGCGGACGACGCCGGAGCGCGGGTCAACCGAGAAAAAGCCGCCAGGGTCACCGAGACGACGGTCCAGCTCATAGCGAACCTGCGGTGAGGCAAGGGGGGAGAGGGGAGGAGGAAGAAGAGTGAGCAGTAAGGGTTATGGATGGGAGGTGGGTAAGGAAGAGGTGTGGGAGGAGAGTGAACATTGGAGTATGCAGAAGGGTTGAACAGAGTGAGAGGATGAGTCGGAGAGCTTGAGGAACCACAGGGAAGGGTGGTTGTGGTGATAGTGATTGTAATGATGGTGGGGGCCAAGGTGATAGAGATGATATAAGTGAAGTTCATAGTGCATCAAGCAGAAATCTCTCTACACACGTGTGTAGACATGTACACAGATGCAGATGCACAATCCATCCCCAGACCCCTCCACCCACCCGTGCATTCACGCCCTGGTCTCCGTCGCTTGCCCGCACGCGCGCAACGCTCGTGCCAAGCGCCGCGTCCTCACTCACGCTGGCGCCGTAGCGGCGCCGTGAGAATGCCGGCGCCTGGTCGTTCTCGTCCCCCAGGGCAACACGCACAGTGAGGCCGGGCCGCGACACGCGTGCCGGCGCCCCGCCGTCGTGGGCCCGCGCCCGCAACCGATACCCGCCAGGGCGGGCTTCGCGGTCCAGCGGTGACACCACCACCAGCTCCAGCCGCTCGGCCGAGACGTCCCACTCAAGCAAGAATGGCAGGCGGCGCCGCTGCTGGCCCGGGGGTCGGTCATCTTGGGTCGGGACAGAGCCGGCATCCGTGGGTTTGCTGTCGGTCTCGCTGCCGTCATTGTCGTCGTCATCGGAGAGGGTGTACCCCTGCACACCATGTGTCCCCTCGTCGGGGTCCCATGCCGGCGGAAGGGAGAAACGCGCCCCAACCGGGACCCCCTCGGAGATCTCCAGACGAACCTGCAGTGGGGTTTTTGGTTATGGTTAGTATCTTTGCGACCACTGTTACCAATGTCATCTGTATTGTTGGCCTCATCTGACAACTGCACACCTGTCATTGATGTCATCGGCCACCTAAGCAGTTGCAGCAACAGCATCAGCAGCAACTTTTTCGATGTCAAAGTCATCTCAATCACCAACTTCAGCTTCATCATTAGCATCATTGATCGCCATCTTCAACCCCATCACCTGCCCACACTGCGATCGTACCGACATTTCCGCGAGCGCATGGTGCACCACCCACCTCCTCGTCCTCCTTGGTGCCATCATCACCTCCAGGGTCACCAACATCGTAGAGATCGTGGCGGGCATCCCCGCGTGCCCCATGCCGCGATCCAAACCTCGGCTCGTTATCGTTGACGTCGAGGACTCGCACGGTGACGCGGACGGGGGAGTCGAGTGGCAATGACGAGGCGGTGAAGAGGAGCGGTGCGATAGGCAGAACGACGAAGTGGTACCGGTCACGCGTCTCGCGGTCGAGCACGCGCGCCGTGCGCAGCTCCCCCGTGAATACATCCACCGTGATGTCTCCTCCACCATCGTCGCCACCGTCCCCACCATCCGCCGGCACCACCAGGAAGCGCACGGTGCCATCCGCATGTGCCAACGGGTCGAGCGGGACTTTGCCGGGATCTGATGACGATGATGACGATGAAGACGATGATGATGGGGCATGGACACCATCAGGGGAAAATGGAGACGAGGATTTCCCGCCATCGCCGCTGGTGGCGGCGCCTGTAGAGACAAGAGGATTTAGTGATCATGGTGATGATGGTTATTATTATGATGATGTGATTATGTGATGAGAATGATGATGTTAGGTATACAATAGAAACCAATTTGCAATTACTTATCGTTCTTCATGCGGAGCGTCCCAGGGTGCTTTCAAATAAAAAAAACTCAAAAACCCTTTGGCCAATCAATACAGCTAAAAAAACACACCGACTTCAACAAATATTTTTGATATTTAATTTCAAATATTTAATTATGCCAGCGTTCCTGATGTGGGCAGTAACATGGACTATTTGTAGCACGTTTTCTGCGTGTTACAAAGGTTCATGGATCAAATACAGCGGCCACCCTGGTTATTACTGTTGGGTGTATTAACCAAAGAAAACACATGCCGTCTGCTTCACAGTGGAATTTAAAGTTCTCATGATGTCCATCACTCGAGTTGGCCAATGTGTGCCAGCATCGTGGTCCACATATTTTATAAAATTACCTGCAAATTACTCAAATCGAATATACGCTTTCTTCACTACCACTATAACCTTCACTTATATTCACTCCATTGCCTTGGTCACCACCATCATCACTGCAAATCACTCATCCGAGCACAGTCTCCATCACCACCACAACCTGAACTACCACCACTGCCATCGCTTCCATCACCTGCTGCTTGAGCCCCGAAGGCGGCGCTCACATCGCCGATGAGGGTCCCAGCTGGCTCGTTCTCCCATACGGTCAGGGTCAGAGTGCTTGATCCCCAGCCGCCCCCGAGGGCCCCCTCGCTCTCGTCGGGGTCACCCCAGCCGCCGGCGCCCCGCCCACCTCTCCAGCCAGCGCCGCCCCATCCAGTTCCGGTTCCGGCTCCGAAACCAGTTCCGGCTCGGGCAGCGGCGATGGCGAGTGTCTTCAGGATCTGCTCAATGTCCTCGGCTCCAGCTCCGATCCCGCCGAGTCCGGCCCACGATTCTATTTTTGTGGGGCCAGCGTCCAATCCGGTCACGTTTCCCGTTTCGGATGCCGTTGTTCCAGAGAAAATGAGGAAGCAGGACAGCGCGAGTGTCAGAAGGAGATTCTGTCCAATCGTCGGCATCGCTCGCGTCTCCGTCGACGCCCTCTTCCTCCTCCTGCACCACCTCCTTGTCCACCCAAGTGGCGTTGTCATCGTCTTCGTTGCAGCCATTGGCTCGCTCGATCCACCTGGAATTGTTGGAATGCCTCGTGTTTGCGAGCGCACGTTCATAGTTTGGGAGTGTTCTTCCTGGTGCTCATCGCTTCCGCTGATTTGGAAAATCTAATGGCATTGATTTAGGTCTCAATCTGAAACTGGAGATAATTCAGTCTAAATCTAAATGATTAGATCCGGATCCGGTTGGCAACACAGTTCAAGGACCAGTTCAGGGTTTTCTTCCCAAACCGGATTCAGATTCGGATTTTGACCTACTAATCGTCTGCACTAAATATTTTAAATCAGTACCAATAATTTTAAATCGTAAAAAAAATTAAGTGTGCAAAGTCTCATTCACAATATAAATAATTAACACGTACACAAAAGAGTATAGAAACTCCTTACTCCCAATAACACTGTAATAAACTAAATCATTACTAATACTGCCAAATAACACTGACCGTCAATTCGTCATGTGTGGCCTTCAGCTTGACCTTGTACCTGGGGCTGCGTCCATTTTCTCCCCACAGTGGCCAAGCCGGTCATCGACCACTGACTGAGGCGTCGTCTGTGGGACTCCTGGGTCCGAGGGATGAGGGGTTCTTGTGGAGTGTTTATCCTTCACACCTTAAGGAGTGGGACCTTGAACCCCTAATTGGATCTTTAGGTCTTGAAGAGTGAGCACTTCAGATTTTGTCGAACTTAACAGGGTCTTGAAGGCTTGAAGACTTAATACCTTGAGTTGTTGAAGAATTGGGCCTTGAAGCAATTGAAGCCTGGAGTGGATCCCTGAGGAGTGAGCCCTTGCAGTCTTATAGTTGGGCCTTCACTGCACAGGGAATTTCAGGGGCCGTGAGAGAGGCAGGACCTACGAACACAGAAACTCTGATCGGAGGTCTCCCTCGCAAGTCCTTCTTTGTCTCTCCCACTCGAAGCACAGCCTGAGGCAAGAGACAGAGACACAGACACAATTACTACATTTCCATGAGCCACTAAACTCGAGTACGGACTCGAATCGCCTCCCTGGCGCCGCATATCCATATTTTTGTTTACAGTCAACCCGAGTCGCCTGTCATTTTTTTTAAGGCCAAGTGCCAAGTTCTCCAGGATATTTTTTTTTGCTCCACGGGCTGCTGGTCTGACTACGCTAGAATTTCGGCAAATTCGAAATGCATCAGCAAAATTCTGCATTCTAAGAAGATGCACGTTCAAGGAGAAAAGAGTCGCGACATATGAGATAGCACGCAGAAGATGGGACAGCTTATTGATGCGATCAAGAGATGGTGTAGAACATGCTTTGAGATTAAAAAAGGTACAGTATGCTACAGGCAGCACATTGAAAGGGCATTGCTATATGTAAAGCCGAGTGAGATTCTGCAAAATAATCTATACGAGTGCATGGTTAAATAATAGGCTGCTGGAGATAACTTAGATAATTGCTACGGGAGATAGCCGCATAATGAACAGTGGGGAGATGCCATAGTAGATTGGATATTATTGGAGACATCAGTGGATGTCTACAATGTGTGTGAGACGTTATAGGTGAAGGCGAGAGGGAGGCTATGTGGGGAGGGGGAAGTATGATGAGTTCCAATGCACGAGGGAGGTGGCCGCTTGGTGGCAAGGGATATGCTGTGCTGTGGAGATGGAGTGTGTGGGTGTGTGGGTGCGCTAAGTGCACTCTAGAGAGCCTTAACCAGTCACAGCAGAGTCACTGTTAGAATGGCAAACGCGTTGATAAAGAAAAGGGATCCCTGTGTAGCCTTAACGGGCTGTTCGCGAGCATCTATTTGGGCCGGCACGGCTACACGAGCGGGCCACGGACGCGTGCTTTGTGGTCATTGAAGGCCGAGTCGCCACACTGATAACATGCGGGGTTTGGGGGTTTGTTGTTGTTGTTTTTGTTGTTGTCACACGGACAATTTTACAGAGTGTCCCAGGAAATAACGCGAAGGTGGAGACATTCCGTGCTCCGTATATAACGGCGGGGTTCCCTTGAAGCTGGATAATTACACTGTATGCAATGTTCCTAACCCGCACTCGCAAGATAAATCGACACTTGGAATAGCAAGAGCAATGTACCCCCCCCCCCCCCCCCCGCCAAGTTGTATACACGCAACGTTACACGGACGTTGGTCCAACGATTCGAAGCGCACGCCACAACGTTGAACCAACGTTTCGAATGGCGTGCCAACGTCGGCCGAACGTTGTCCCAACGTTGGCACGTTTCAACTTTGGCTGGCCTCGTCGTTCCTGCAACGAAGAGGCGAAACAATGACTGTACAATATCAATGATGGCAATTGGACATGTCGGGTGGTGGTGGAGGGGTCTCACGACACACGACTTGCTCGGATCATTATGCAGTATCCGTGGCCTTAACCACAAATCAATAATATATCAATCTAACTCAAAGATGCAGTAACTATTGCAGTCACTAAATGTGCGGTGCAGGGTTGAAGACTCCTTAAGGTATACTGTGGCACAAGTACTGTACAGGACTGATACCAAGTCTCTCACTGCACCACATCTGTAGATCAAGGAATTAAACTCTTAGATGTTTTTTTTTTAAAGTCACGTTACACCACAATACGTATCATATTGTACGCGTTCTAGTATAATATCAATTGTCGAACACTCCAAAATAACACTACACGCCGACACGTGTCTGCACTTCGTCTTAAAATAAATAACGAGTCCACACACACACACTAAAAGTACACACACACGTACACACACACTAAAAGTACACACTCACACACGTACACAAAACAAAGATCCCCCATATAGCCTTAACAGACTGTAGGGCCAAGTGCTGTTAGCGAGCACCTATGAAGGCCGGAACGGTACACGAAGGGGGTGGGTGACCAGCACCACGCCGGACCGCCTTTGTCTCCCCAGTGGCGATGTTTACACACCGCACCAGGTACTCATTTGAGGCTGAGCCGACCTAGGGGAGGCCCAGGGATCCGGTTCAGATTCTCGTCACCGGTGTTGGCCGTGAGCGGGAATCGAACTCTGGTGGGCGGGGTCGTTGCGCAGCGCGCTAACCGCTGCGCCACCGCTCCCCACACACACACACCGGCACATTCGTACGAACGCACGCACACACACGCAAAGATAAAGATCTCCCGTATAGCCTGAACAGACTATTGGGGCAAGTGCTGTTAGCGAGCACCTATAAAGGCCCGCACGGCACACGAGGGGGTGGCTGGCCAACACCACGCCCGGCCGCCTTTGTCTCCCCAGTGGCGATGTTTACTACACATCGCACCAAGGTACTCGTTGGAGGCCGAATCGACCTAGGGGAGGCTCAGGGACCCGGTTCAGATAATCGTCACCGGTGTTGGTGGCCGTGAGCGGGACTCGAACTCGGGTCGGCGGGGTCGTAGCGCAGCGCGCTAACCGCTGCACCACCGCTCCCCACGCACACAGACACGCACGCGTTCACGCGCACGTGAAATCAATAATTCAGGCCCAGCAATGCCAAATGTGCGGTCACCTTATCGGACTGCGAGGTGACGCTTCGCATTACCATCAATAGCAGTACCATCGCTAACATCATCACAATAACTGTCATCGTAGTCGCTGACACCACAATCACCGACATCATCATCATCATAACCAACAACATCATCACGAGATTGCTAACGTTAAGCATCAACGTTACTGACATCGTCGCTATCGCTAACCTCATCACCAAAATCGTCACAACCATCATGATCCATATCACTAAAAGTATTAGTCACTGGCACTGTACGAATAACGTTATCGCTACTACCATAATAATCACTCACCATTATATTCACCTTCATCATTAATATCAAAATCTACCATCCCTACTATCTTCATAACCATAATCATCAATAACATCACTATTATCATCATAAACATCGCTATCATCACTGGTAGCATCATCACAACCATTAACACAAGTCAACTTCATCACCATCACTAAAATGACGTATAATCATCCCCAATAACGATTGCCATCATCTTCATCACTACCATCTCGATCACCTCCACGGCTACTAACGACCACCATCGCCATCATTTCAATGAATTAGATTATCAACATCACCGTCACCGTTAGATTCGCTACCATCACCACCATTTAACCACAATACCATCATCACCTCCAGCCCCTTCTTCACCATCATTAAACCGGCACAATCATCACAACCATCGCCATCGTTACCACCGTGATCACGGCCACCACCGTCATCAAAATCACCACTAGACTATTCTCACCATCACCAACATCATTATACCACCACCATCATCATAATAACATCAACAGGCATCATCCTTGGGCAGCAGGGTGGCGTGCACTTTTTTTTTTAACTTTGTGCCTGGTAGCAAGGAGCTGGGTTTGAGTCAGACTTTCTGCCTGGCGCTTGTATCGTTTTCCCCCTGTTCTGCCTTGGCTTCTGTTTTCTCTTATAGCCAATTACAAAGGACAAACCACAACGTAAACCGGTATTGGCCAAACAACCCCAATGCTTAAACATGATTCAATAGGGATTACACGTAAAGCAACATCGCCCCCTGGATCCTCCTGAAGCAAAACTCACCACCACCAGAAATCACCACCACTCCGACTACCTTCATTATCAAAACGATCGATACTATCAGTATGACCAAAACACCACCATCATAATCATTACTACCACCATAATCACTACCACCATCACCGCCACAATCATCCTCACCATCATTACCACAAAAATCACTGAAACCATCCCCTACGATCGCCACCAAAAGAATAATCCTCGTCGTCATTATGCCCGACACCATCACCAAAATATTCATCAAAGCCCTTTACCATCGCTAAACCACTCTAAAACCATCATCATCACCATCACTACAGCCATCATCATAAGCAGTAGCAGCAAGTCATTGTCGCGCCTCGTGACTCTTCATTCAATCGCCTCTTCATTCAATCGCAGCAACGAGCGACCTGGCCAGGGAGTCGCTCACGACCACCCCAAGATATTCCCGCATCTCCGCAGGATTACAGAACGCTTAATGTGTGTGCGCAACGTTATCAAACACACGATTCGCGCGTTTATTTACGCACGCATCCCACCGACGACGATCATTAAAAATGTGCCAATGCGTTTTTCATTTCTGTTTTTTTTGTCCCCAGTAACAACATTTTTTTTGTTGCTTAAAATAAATTAAAGCCCAGAATTTAAGTGAACATTCGCGCGTGTGCGTCAGTGTCAGACTCTGGGGAGCGGTGGTGTAGTGGTTAGCGGCACTGCGAACACGAAACCCCTGGATCCCCGGTTCGATTCCCTGCTTAAAGCCAACATCGGTGACGAATATCTGATCCGGTCCCGGGCATCCCCTAGGTCGATTCAGCCTTAAATGTCCGCGCTGGGGAGACAAAGGCGGTCGGGCGTGGTGCTGGCCACTCACCCCGTCGCGGGCCGTGTCGACCTTAATAGGTGCTCGCTAACAGCACTTGGCTCACCAGTCTGTTAAGACTACACGGGGGATCTTTGTCTTCGTGCGTGTGATTTGCGGCGTGGTGAATGTAAATGCATTCACTCACCAGCGGTGGATGATTCGATACTTGACATTCAGGACACTCCTACACAATCTCTGCGTCTCACACTCTCTTGCACGCTCTCCCTTTCTCTCTCCCTTACCCCTTCCTCCCTTGCACCTCTCTCTCTCCTGCACGATCCTATCCGTCCTTGTTGCACGGACACTATTATACCACCTCCATCCCCTCTGTTCGTCCCGCTCATGCACAATCCCACTCTCCCTTACCTAAGTCTCTCTCTAAGCCTTCAGTACAATCACTCTCCCCACTAATCTCTCCCTGTGCAATCTCTCCCCGTTGTCTCTCTCTCCTGCACAATGCTGCTCTCTCCTTTCCCCTGTCTCTAATTCACAATGCCTGATGCATAATCTCTCCCTAAAACACATCCCATAATGCTGACCCCTCTCTCTCTCTCTCGCTCGGTCTCGCTGTGTCTGTAACGATGTCTATACACAGCCTCGCGCTGGCTATGTCTCTGCACACTGGCTATGTCTCTCAGTAAGCAAGCGCATGTGTGTGCTGTTTGCTCTATCGCACGGCACTCTCCCTTCTCTCTCCCCCTCCTCCCCTGCCTCTCTCTCCCCCTTCTCTCTCTCTTCTCTCTCCCTTCTCCCTCCCCTGCCTCTCTCTCCCCCTTCTCTCTCTCTTCTCTCTCCCTTCTCCCTCCCCTGCCTCTCTCCTCCGTCACATCTCGCTCTGCCACTAACTAGGGCGGTCACGTGACGGTTGTGGGGGGGGGGGTCTGTCCTGCCCCCCACCTCCCCCCACCTCCCTTACCCCCCTCACCCTTCACCCCCTTCCTTCTGCCCCCTCCTACTGATTCCCCCCCCGCCACCGCCGCCCCCACTCCACCCACCCACCCCCCCTGTCCACAACAATCACCACAACCACCACCACCTTTATCCCCCTGCCTCGCCTCCACCCCCTCGCCGTCTCCACGCCACATCCCAAATCGCAGAGCGGACAGAATAACACACACACACAACCGCAACATACACACGCGTACGGAATACCATACACACATATAATACACACGCCTACCACGGCAGCGTGTGTAAATATATATCTAAAAAACATATACACACGCAATGAATATCAAATCGCGTGAAACATTGAATACCATACAAATGCAAATCGCCATGCAAATACACGGGGCACCCCACACACACACGCACGCGCGCGTGCAGGCGCACACGCAAACACGTGCACGTGTATAACGCAACACATGCCGTCGTGACACACGGAGACAAAGATTCCCCCGCGTATCCATAGCGAGTGCTGGGGATTGCGGTGGCGTGGCGGGGGATGAGTACTGTTTGCGAGCACCTATTAAGGAAAGCACGGCGCAGCCAGGGATGGTCTGGCCAAAAAGCCACGCCGGGACGCCTTTGTCTCCACCACAGTGCTGAATGTTTACACACCACCACCACCACAAGGTGCTCATTTAAGGCTAAGTCGACCTCGGGACGGCCCAGTACGTACATGTGTGTATATATATATATTGCACTGGCGCACAATATATATCCACACACACCACACATCTCTCTATCCGTTTAGACTTTTTGGGATTTTGAGGCAAAGTGCTGTTAGCGAGCACCTATTAAGGCCTTCTCGGCACACAAGAGAGTGGTGCCAGAACAAAGCCCGTCCGCAATTATCTCACCAGGCACTCGTTTAAGGCTGAGCCGATCAAGGGTAAGTCCAGGATGGGTTCAGATAGATGCCACTGATGTGAGCCGTGGCCAGGAATCGAACCCAGGTCGCCAACGCTGCCCACCCCCCCTCCCAACAAACACGCTCTCTGCTCCCGCCCACCGCTGTCTACGGCAGCAGCATGTTGGGGTAAAGTGGTGGCACTCTCCTACTTCTTCCAAGACGTCTCAACAGCGTGGAAGAGTAGGCCAACTCACCTCCAGCCGGGCTATCTCTTCTCGAGCTTCCTCTCGTGGAGGCCCTTCCGCCAGCAGTGGAGTGAGCGCGCAATTTCAGGGCTGAAATGTCGGCTATTTGCATTCCTTAATGTAGTGTACAGGTGTAGGATCTACATGCGGAGCGGTGGCGAAGTGGTCAGCGCACTGCGCGATTAACTTTGCCACCCCGGTTCGATTCCCGAGTGCACGCGCGTGGTGAAGTATGGTCAATACACAACGACCGTGACCCACACGGTGTGGAGAGGCCTTCATCCAACAGTCGATTGACGAAGGGTTGCGAGTTATTAATTGCATGTATATGCAGTCCTGAATAGAGATGTGCAGTAACATATTGTGCATGCACGTACATGACGGAACACGTGTGCTCATGCATGCCTTCCTCTACACACGCGTGCAGGCATTACTTCAGCGCTCACGCACACACACACTACACATACACACACTCCCAATCACACACACGCTCACACACATACTCCCAATCACACGCACGCTCACACACACAGTACACACACACGCTCACACACACATACTCCCAATCATTCACGCACACACACATACTCCTAATCACACACACGCTCACACACATACTCCCAATCACACGCACGCTCACACACACAGTACACACACATACTCCCAATCACACACACGCTCACACACGCACTCCCAATCACACACACGCTCACACACATACTCCCAATCACACACACGCTCACACACACACATACTCCCCAATCATACACGCACACACACATACTCCCAATCACACACACGCTCACACACATACACCCAATCACACACACGCTCACACATACTCCCAATCACACACACGCTCACACACAAATACAAAGATCCCCCGTATAGCCGTAACAGACTGTTTGGGCAAGTGCTGTTAGCGATCACCTATGAAGGCCGGCACGGCACACGAGGGGGTGGGTGGCCAGCACCACGCCCGGCCGCCTTTGTCTCCCCGGTGGCGATGTTTTTTACACGCCGCACCATGTACTCGTTTCGGGCTAAGTTGACCTAGGGGAGGCCCAGCACCGGTTCATATAGGTGTTGGCCGTGAGCGGGAATCGAACTCGGGTGGCCGGAGTTCGGAGCGCTGCACTTGCACGCACACGCGCACACTCACGCGGTGACTCGCGCACAGCTTTAGACAAAGAAATCGTACACACACACACACGCATGCACAGACATAAATTCACGGTCACTCTCGCTCTCTCTCTCTTGCACACACTTTCTTACACAAGCTCTCCTCTCGCTCTCTCGCGCACACACACACGCGCACGTTCTTACTTACACTTTGATACAAGACAAAGATCACCCGTATGGCCTTAACAGACGTTCGGGAAATGTGCTGTTAACGAGCAACCCGTGAATGTGCACGTGGGGGGTGTGCCCAGCTCCACGTCCGGCCGCCTTTGTCTTCCTCGTGGCGATGTTTACACATCGCACCAGGTTACTCATTTGAGTCTGAATCGACCTGGGGGGAGGTCCATTGCCGGTTCAGATAATCGTCACTGGTGTTGGCCTTGAGTGGGAATCGAACTCGGGTCGCACACATACACACACACACTTTCACACGAACTTTCTCTTCTCCCACTCTTTCACGTGCGCGAAAACTTTCGCTCACACGCACACACTCCATCACTCTCTCTCACACACACAATTCTCTGACACGAAGTTTTATACTGACTTTCACACACACAACTCTCTCTCTCACACACACACACTTACATACACATTTTTTTAAACATAAATACTTACACACACACACTCTCTGACATAACATTTTATCACTCACTCTGACACATACATACACACACAAACTCTCTCACACACACACACATTAACACACACCGACTTTATTTTGAACACAAAGACAAATTATCCCCCCGTATAGATTTTAACAGACTTCTGGGACAAGTGCTATTAGCGAGCGCCTATGAAGGGGTGGAACGGCAGACGAGGGGGTTGGGTGACTTCATTCACGCACATAATTTCACTTACGCACACACACACACACTGTGACACACTATTTACACACACAGTTAAACACACTGATACCCACAAGGGGGTGATGTGGCCAGAACCTCGCCCAACCGCCTTCATCTCCCCAAACGTCGATGTTTACACACCGCACCAGGTGCTCATTGAAGGCTGAGTCGATCTAGAGGAGATGAGATCACTCACAAGTGATGTTGGCCGTGGCCGGGAATCAAACTCAGGTTCCCGGGTTCACAACACACTGCGCCACCGTGTTAACACACACGTTCTTACACACACACACTTAGGCGTACATTAACATACATTTTAGCACACTTCACACGCACTCTCCCTGAATACACATACACTGTCTCCCGGGTGCTGATGTTTATACGCTGCACCGGGAATTCATTTAAGGCCGAACCGACCTAGAGGGTCAGGACATGATCCAAAGATATCACTTGCCACTGGTGATAGCCGTGGCTGGGAATGGAATTCACGTTGCAAAACTTTGAAGAGCAGTGCGCTAACCACTGCGCCACTACTCTACCTATACATAGACACACGCAAAGACGTAGATATACACACATACACAACCCACACCATACTTCTCACACACCCCTCTATCCCGCCCTCTATCACGCCTCTCCCTTCATCCATCCCCTCTTCTCATCCCCTTCTCTCCCTCCATCCTCTCCTCTACCTTAATCGATCCCCCCTCCTCTCCTATTCTCCTTCCCATCATCCATCCCCTCCTCCTCCCCTACGCTCCCTCCTTTCTTGCACCCCCTCCTCTCCCTCCCCCCTCCTCTTCTCCCTTCCCCCTCCTCCTCTCCATCCCCTCCTACTCTCCCAGCCTCCACCATCTCTCCCTCCTCCACAGCAACAATTTAAACCTTCCAGGAGGCCAAGTTGTGTGCGCCTATGCGTGTGCATACACGTGTACACGCACGCACACTCTGAAGTGTAATACACTGCGCTACCAAAGACAAAGATCCCCCGTATAGAGTTAAAGAACTGTTGGGGCAAGTGCTCTAAGTGAGCACCGACTTTAAAGGGCAGATTTGGCGCAATGAGGTGGGGTGGTATAGCGGCAACCACGCCCAGCCCCCTTTGTTTCCCCAGTGCTAATGTTTACACATCACAGCAGGTACTCAATTAAGGCTGAGTCGACCTAGGGGATATCTAGGACCGGTTCAGGTATCACTCGCTACAGATGTTGGGCCCCAGCCAGGAATACAAACTCAGGTCGCCACCGTTCCACAGCTCCATCCATAGACAAAGAATCACCGTGTAGCCTGCACACATTGTGCTGCTTGCAAGCGCCTATCACCGTATTCCCGCTGTAATGAATACAATTTGAAAACGGAAAATCTAATCTTAGGATTTATAAGACGCATTTTATTTCTTTATTTTTTTAAAGCAAAGTTGGGGTGCGGCTTATAATCCGGTATATGTATGTGAACACGTGAGACCATCTTCGTGTATACCTTTGACATCCCACCTTTGTCGGGAGCGGTGGGGTAGCGGTTAGCGCGGTGCTCTACGAACCTGGCCACCCGAGTTCGATTCCAGCTCACGGCCAACACCCAGTGACGATCATTTGAACCGGTCCTGGGCTTGCCCTAGGTCGACTCAACCTCAAATGAGTACCTTGTGCGG